AACTATTGAGGATCCTATTCCTTCTCTTTCATGGCCTATTAAGTGAAAAAAAAAATTAAGGGAATTTACATACATAGCGAACAATTCAAATGTATTTACATATCTCACATCTAAATTTTCATATTTACTCACATAACAAACGCTCAAATCTTTAATGTCACAAGACATAGCACTATTACCACTTTTTAAAAGTGAAATACAACTTTTCATGCATAGGTTTAAAATACCAAAGTACCATGTATGTAAATATGAAAGTTTAGGTGTTAGATATGTAAATACATAAGAATTATGTGCTACATATGTAAATTTCACTAATTTTAACTGTAAAAGAAACAAAATAGTTTACATAATTAAAATTCTACTATATGCTCTATTATACTTTAAAGTGACACCTTCCCACATCAGATTTATATAGAACTTACCACAGGCGTAACTTAATATATTCTCTAACATATATCAAATACATCAGCTGTGTTCACTGAAAGCAGAAGAAAAACTTTATTTATTTATTTTGTTCTGCAATAAATTTGTTCATAAGGTCAGATTAATCATAGAGACTTGTGAGAAATCCACCTTTCAAACATAACGAAGCATTGCAAAGGCATATTATTTGGAGCTGTATGACTTCCACCCTGCAACCAGATGAGTAAATTGCAGAAATTGTGAGCGCACAGAAACAACGCCTGTTTTATGCAGATATTATCAAAGAAATATTACATCACCTTCACAGTTGCAAATGTCAGATTGTTTGAGAACAGTATTGTATACCTGTTGAGCAAGTTAATTAATGTTAAGACACGAAGAATGTGGAATACAGTCCTTCATACTGATTCAAACCATATTTTGTGTCCTTAATAACATGCTATATATTATAAGAAAATTACAGTAGATCGAAGACTGTTATCTTTGAGATGAAGGAAAAAACAATTTTATTATAATTTGTCATGAAAAATCTGGCATTTACATACATACCACCACCTAATTCCTATGTTTTTGCATACGTAACAAATAAACTCTACTTTTTTTACATTTATATCGTCCAAATAATTCATATCACATGAAAAAAATATCATGATATTGACTTTTAAAATGTGAAATACTTATA